CCACAAAATAAGAGTGAAATGACACTTTTGCCTCATACTAAAAAACACACAATTTCTCTCTCTACTCTCTACTTCCACTTTCTCTCTCTAAATTATTTCCAGAGCTATGTCGAGGCGGCCCGGCAAGGAAGTGGCGGCACCGGCGGTGGGCGGAAGGCGGTTTGCCGGCCAGAAGGTAATTTTTTTAATTTTTGTAATTTTTTTTTAAAAAAAAAACCTCCGGCGACGGTGGGGCGCCAAGGCGAGACGCCACCACCACGGAGGAGGCGCCTAGGCAAGGCGCCCGTACGGTGGTGGCGGCGCCTAGCCCAGACGCCACTACCACGGCAGCGGCGCAGAGGCTAGGCGCCACGGCCGTGGTAGTGGCGTCTGGGCTAGGCGCCGACACCACCGTACGGGCGCCTTGCCTAGGCGCCTCGTTCTTTTTTTTTTAAAAAAAAAATTTTTTTGTTTTTTTTTAATTTTAAATTTTATTTTCGATTTTTTTTTTTTTTTTTTTTAAAAAATTTGTTTTTCTTTTTTTTAAATTGTATGTTCCCTTTTTTTTTATCTTTTTTTTTTTAAATTTTGTTTTTTTATTTGTTTTAATTTTATATTTTTTATGTTTATAATTTTATTTCCGTGACTTGTTTATTTGCTTTTGTGTTTATTTTCGACTTTTTTTAATTTGTTTTCGTTATTATGTTTCGTTATTTACTTGGAGTTAGGCATCGCAATTTAGACCTGGTGCGGGGAAGAGTATTGACGTCGTGAGGAGTACGATCTACTCAATGGAGAGCTCGGGGCCCAGACACGTTAGATCCCGTGGTATTTCAGCCTCGGCCCGCAGAGAACGGGTGCACTGTTCTGCGGACGATCAAGATGATGATGATGATGATGAGGAGGAGGAGGAGGAGGTCGAGGAGGAGGAGGTCGAGGACGAGGATGATGCAGATGAGGATGTCGACAATCAGAGTGGACCATATGATGATTACGGTCCATTCAGTCAGAGACTTGATGATACGTATGAGACGCATAGGGTAGATGTGCGTAAGGGTCGAGATGGTAGGTTTGTTAGTAGATCTGGCACATCATCTGCGTCCACTGTGTCTGCGGGTAGCAGAAAACGGTCGAGGGCCGTTAATGATTCTTGGATGGTGAGGGGTGAGGTGGCCGGGGGACCTATAGACGGGAGTGTGATTCCTAGCTTTTTAGGACACATCGCTACCCGTATTTGGGAGGACCAGGAGAGGGCTTTGGATACAGGCATTTTGAAATGCCAAACCCGGGAAAAGACTTGTAGGTTTTTGTGTAGCTGGGCTGATGCTTGGCCGGAGGAGAGCGAGATGGTCAGGCGATTGAGGGCCACTAGAGTGAGTCACCTTCCTGCCACCATGCACGACAGGATTGACTGGACGCTGATCACGGCTTTCGTTGAGCGATGGCAGCCGGATACGAACTCGTTCCACCTTCCGTTCGGTGAGATGACGATCATGTTGCATGACGTCGAGGCCATCCTTGGGATTCCCGTGGAGGGAAACCGAGCATCTGTCGTCACTGATGCGGATCAGGCAGATTTACTAGCGGAGCTGTTGGCGGTGGATAGGGTTGCGCTGTACACATCGGCACTTGGTGTGTGGGATCACGGCGGCGTTAAGATCGCAGCCGTCTTGCAGCGATGTTTGCACCCTACGGCACGTAGGACGCAGGACACACAGCTGGCTGCATATGTTTTTCTTCTTCTCGGGTGTACCTTGTTTCCGGATAAGAGCGGGAACAAGCTCAGGCCACGCGACATAGTTGACGCGTGTGAGCCCGATATTTGAAATTAGACATTATCTTTTTAGTTTGTAATATTTGAAATTATTGTTCTTAGTTTTTAAAATTCAATATTATCTTTTTAGTTTGTAATATTTGAAATTATTGTTGTTAGTTTTTAAAATGAAACATTATCTTTTAAAAATGAACACATAGAAATGACATAGTATTGACAATACAAGGCCTCATAGTAAAAGGTAGGTGTACATCAACAAAAACTACATGGCAATTAAATTGTTCCACTGTTGCACGCGAGCATGGTACAAAGCATCCCAACCCTCCACGCTTGCTCTACGAATTTCATACCACTTCGGTATGATATTTGGGACCGGAAAATCGGGTGACATGTCTAATCGGATAAAATGTCTGTATGACGGCCCAAGAAATCCAATAGCAACGTCCCTTACCGGTCTGGTGACGGTCTCGCGCGAACACCAGGGCAGAACCGTTGTACATGGATAATAGGCTCGACTATGTAAACCAAGGCCGAAATGCATGACTGCACACTTGTAGATGTTTGCAACGGCAAAGAGATCAAGTGGCGCATCGAACCAATGATTTTGACCGCAAGGTCCCCCTCCCCACCGGATACGCTGCAGAGACCTATCCAAGTCCTCGCCGTACACATGGCCATACACATCTCGGTTTGATGCGATTTCCCCAGAATTTATGGGTTTTTTATTTTTAAATTTTTTTTTTGTTGTACAATCTTCAAAAACGATGCTTTGCCCAAGGTTCAAGGGTTGTCTGCGCTTTTTTAAGTTTTTTCCCTCTCAAGTTTTAACAAAAGAAAAAAAAAAAAATACTCCCTCCGTGTTTTTTTTTTTTTTTTAAGTGATACATTTTGTGTTTTTTTAAGTGATACATTTTCCATTTCCGGCCGTGTTTTTTTAAGTGATACATTTTCTTTTTTGACAAAACAATACATTAAAATATTATATCTCTCTCCTCTTATGGCCCCCACCCAAAGCCACTACTACTTTTTTATTATATCTTTCCTCTCACATTCATCACTTTTCAATAAACTATTAACCCCACTATCTTTCTTTAACAATTTTTTAATACTCCACTACCCCACTTACCTCTTATTTTATTTAAGTCAATTAAATTGTCTAAAACTATATGCCAGTCAATATGTATCACTTAAAAAAACACGGAGGGAGTAGTGTTCTATGTTCTCACTTTTTAGTTTTATTAACCAATTAACCTCTTCACCGAAAAAAAAACACTTACTAATCCGTAATTTAATTACAACAACAAAAATTTAAAGGAAAAACGGAGGGAGTTCTATCGATTAATCCGTGGTTTATACACACGGGTGTACAGTGCTCATCGTACACCCGGATAAATAAAAAAAAGGCGGAAAGAACATCCTGTGTTTCATAAAGAACATACATGTATTTGACAAAGAACATGTTTGTATTTGACAAAAACATGCATTACCAAAGAACATAAAGATATAATAAAAAGAACGAGATAAAAACTTGATAAAATTTTCTGAAAAATTACACATTATTAACGGGAAAAATAGAGGTGATAAAAAATCGAGTAGGGCCGGGCCATATCATAATTTCTTGTGCCCAAACCCGTAGAAAAGTAGCGGGTTTTCGGGCTTTTTTCGAACCCGGTTCGAGTTTTAACTAAAAATGTATTTTTAGGTTTGCCCAAACCCACCCTATTTCGGGCCGGATCGGGTCGGGATGCGAGTCATGCCAATCTTGATCACCTTTTAAAAAATCCTTACCAAAGATATCATTTCCCCAAAAAATAGTTTTCTATCTCTCCAAAAAAAATTCAACTTCCCATAATAATTTAGTTTTTTTTTTACTCTAACATTATTTTCAATTAAAAATAATTTAAGATTTCAATATCAAATTTCAAAATACCATATGTTAAAAGAACATAATTTATATTGTAAAGTACATATAGTTAATACCTAAATAACACACTAATCAAACTCAAAGAATATACGATAATAAAAGTAATTTAAATATGACATATGGTAATAAAAAATAGAATTTGGGAGTCACTATGACCTTAAAGAACATACACGCCAAATTCAAAGAACATACTTTGTATTATTAAACCCAAAAAAAATATATGTTTATCAACATATGTTAAATAACATAAGTTATAATATAAAGAACATATAATTTTACTCAAAGAACACACTGATCACTCTCAAAAAACATATTAAAGGTATGTTCTTTGTCAAACATAGGTATGTTCTTTATCAAACACTATATGTTCTTTCCGCCTTTTTTTGTTTACCCGGGTGCACCATGAATGGTGCACCCGGGTGTATTATCTAATTTTCACTATCGATTACGTCTTCTGGGAACAAACGGAGAACTTGGTTGCAATTAATTACGAAGTAAAAAAATTGAGCAACAAGCTTACCACTATGGAGCAACAAGTGTACCAGTGGAGGCTGTGGAGTACTGGAGTAACATACGATGTCTTTGTAATTCCAAAAAAAAAAAAAGAGGTACTTTTTTTTTAAGAAAAAAGAGGTACTTCTTACAACATGTATGGTGTGAAATCTGCTCTTTGTTACTTCTTCCTTTTTTGTTCTTAATAAAATTATCACTTTGGTCCTAAAAAAGATACAAATGGTGTGACTTTTCACTGGAGAAGTTTTATCTTCACATTGTTGTAGAAATATAATATGGTACACTAAGCTATTAACTATTAAGAGTTTTAGAGAGAGTGAGGGATAGCTCAAGTGGTTAGAGCTTCCCTCCCGATTTCAAGAGACCCTGGGATCGATTCTCACCTCCGCCCTTGTGGCTCTCTAAACACCAAAAAAAACTATTAAGAGTTTTAACTTTAAGACTATAAATGGTTGTTAGTGTTATTTGATTGTAACAAAATTGTGATATGATCTAAAAATGATTAGAATTAGAGCCTCAGTCTTCTTTGATATGTGAAAAGACGAAAATGATTTGATTAGGCCAGAAATAGTACTCCCAAAAGTGGAATACACTTTCCGAATAAAAAAATTTAATCTCAATACCTCACCTTCTCCCACTTATCCCTTTCATCCTATACATTTACCTTTTCTCTCAACTTTCTAATGGCCTAGGACCTAGGTACTCCAGTACTATATCTATGAATGTAGCATGATAGAACAAAGCGCTGATCTAACTAAGACTTTTAAGAAAACGTGTGAAGAGAAATTCGGTGAAATAGTGAGAAGGAAATTGAACCTGAAGATAGTATGCAAACTTTTATTTACATTGACCTTGCAAAATTGTACAGATTGGAGTGCAGTCTAAACATTTTATACATCTGATGACCTGAAATGAGCAGGGTGTAATTCAGACCAAATAAGAAGACATGACATTCCAACTGATTTTCATGTGTGAAGGCATAGATGCAACAACTCGGAGGATGTCCGGTTTCTCATTGAGCTTTGGGTGGTAGTCTTCAGACCTCTGTCCCAAAACTCTGAGAAACTTAGCAATGTTAGGCAGAACAAGTTCTCTGCAATGAAGGTGTAGTAATGGAACTTTAGATAAAACACTGCCTTTCTGAATGTCCAAACCTTCTGGCCGCCGCAACTTGTAAGGCTGGCCACTTATTGGCTCAATATCAACTTGAGGTGTCTGCTTCCACTTCTGATGCACAAACCAACCATACTTGTAATCACCCACAATGGGAGTGCCAAGAGCTTCAGCACAATGGACTCGCAGCTACAGGTGGCACAAGGTATCATGAAATTATCACAATTTCCAATTGCATAAGATAAATGCTTCAGTTTCAAGTAAAAAACAGAGCATCAAAATGCTAAATCAAGACATGGCCCTCAGCAAAAATTTCATTACCATGAGAGGAATAATGGTAGCACTAAGCTGTAAACTCCTTTTTAAATGTCCTTCTATGCCATTTTAATAATTTTATCTAAATCATCATGCAGTTGTCTGTATTTTCCGACTACAGCATCAAAAAAGATAGAAATCCAACAGTCCAACTGTATGGTGTTCGATTTCTGTGAATTAGCTGACTTGCTAAACCCAACAAAAACACTTTTATCATACCTGATAATACAAAATTTCAAGAAACTTAATCCCCCTTAATACCTCTAAGAAAAAATGGTACACAAAAATATTTTACCATTTTTACTCAAAGATCAGCAAATACAGCTTTGCTTCTTCTTTATTATGTGCACAATAGGGAAAGAAAAACTAACACATTGCTGGTGCATCAGAAAATTTCTCATAGTCAAGCAACCAAATACGAGTGTCTTAACTTATATTCCATGCGTTGATTAAGAAGCAAATAGACATAGTAGCTAGCTTACGATGAGTGACACAGAAGAGGATAATTTTACCTGATGTTTCCAGCTGGTATGTGGTCGTAGTTCAATCCATGAACACCCATTGATCATAGGGCCAAGTACCCGATACTCAGTCAAAGCTTCTTGATAAGCTTCTAAACCTGATGGATGAGCCAGCATTACCCTCTCGGATTTTCCATCATCGAGAAGCACCTGTGGAAAAAAAGCTCCCAATTTTAATAAACCTGATATATGAACAAAGAAGTACCAAAAGCACCTTTTTTGTGGGGGGGGGGGGATGTGTCAAAGAATGAGAGAAAACCTTTGTGAGAGGAGCACATATCACACCTTCCTTTTCTCTGGGGACCCTATGACCAATGCCCAATATTTCATAAATGTAGCTCCACATGCATCATTCCAGGCCTATAAAACAAATATACTTAATTTATAGTTCAAGAGTTGCAACTTCAAACCAAAATGTAGACTAGAAAATCATCACTAAACAGTGACAAACGGATGAATATCAATACCAGACATGATGTGTTTGCAACATTCATATTGCTAAACAGTTTTTGAAGATAAGAAGTGCTCTCCTTTGTCCTTCCCATCAAAAGGATACCACTACTTTCTCTGTCAAGACGATGTACCTTAAAAGAGACAGTAATAAGATGGATGCAATTAGTATTCCATATTTTCGGCAACCTGACAAGAGGGGAGTAAAAGATGCACTAATAGAAGCACTAATATGTCAAACTCATGTCAATTATCAAATTATTAAAAATAACTAAGGAGAAAATTATATCAGTGATATAACATAACGGATTCTAGCGTACGCCCAAGGACCATAAATAGTAGCAACAAGCTTGCGCTTACAGAGCCTAATAGCCTACACATAAGCTAGGAGTCGGATGACCAACTTGATGTAATCAGAAAGGACATAAAGTTACCAAACCAAGCAAGCGTTTCATGCTGTATACTTCATTTCATTGGCTGAGCATTGACAGGTAGGATACGATCCCCACAACTCATTGCATACAATGTCTTTGAGGTATAATAATTACATTTTTAAGTTTGAATTTTACATGGAATGTCCTATGTGACTAATGTGAGTGATGATTATTACTTTCATATAAGTATGCCATTTCTACATTAACTACCTTTTATCACGGTATGGTAAAGAGTAAGTACTAAGTAGTAACAAAAAACTCGATAGTTTACTAAAATATTTAAATTGGATGTTCAACTATCATCTTCTTACTTTTAATCTCCCTCAATTTTTCAATTTATAGCACTCATTTAACTTATAAATAACACCGAAATTTGTTCTTATATGCTACAATTTATTGCACATGGATACATCAAACAAATGGCCACTGTTGAGACAATTCTATCAATAGAATTCCAAATCAGAAAAGCAATAGGGAAAGAAAGAGGAACAAAATATACACTCTTCAATGACCATAGTTCAAATAGCCTCAAGTGTAGACTGGATGCAATGTCTAACTCATAAGAGATATTGGGAAATGGACGCACAAATACTACTTGTACGCGGAATAGACATCACTAAGTAAGCAGGTACTGTTCATCAATACTACCAAATGCAAAGCATATATACTAACATACTACAAGAAATTTTGACAAAAGCTTACCAACTGAGGACCTTCCTCGTAATCATAAGATAATGCTGCAGCAGCAAGAACATCCATGCTGTTATGAACTGGCAAATTCCCCTGTCACAATGCAGTAAGAGAAAAAATGAGCAAATATTGCAATCGAACATTATTCTACAGCAAAATATAGACATGCTTTCTAATGCAGTCACCTGCACGGGCAACTTTGGAGGCTTGTTAAGCACAATAATAGCCGAATCCTGAAATGTACAGCAGAAGTGGAGGAATCAGGACAAAATACAATCTCAGGCAAAAAAAAAAAAAAAACATTTATAGCAAATATAATAGCTGGGGACCTGCCTTGTACTTAACAAGCCTCTGCAAGTAAGCTATTTCATCAGCATTTGGATTTAAAGTTCCACATGGTATGGGATCAAATCTCCTTGAAATCCTACTTTCAGCAATTGACACAGGTACAAGGATTTTCGTACCTGCCTTCATCGCTTCATTGTGCTTAATCTGTAGATTAGCTGTAGAATTGTAGGAAAATTAAACCGACATGGAAAATACAGGCAGGAAGAAACTGCAAGTGTACACATCATTAGACAGCATTCTCAAACAAATGACTGAAATGGGCATTACCTTCCTCATAGACGTCTTCCCAGGGATGCTCGACGAGCCTTTTGTAATCGGATATTCTATCTGCACCTATAACCAAAACACAACATAAACTCATACATCAAATCCCTCCACCTTAATGCTTAAACTACCAATATAAATTCAGGGGTGCAACAATGTTAGCTACTACTATAGTATATACTTCTAGTAGAATTCAGCTTAGTAGCTTACAAATAAAGGAACTCCTAGATGTTCACTCAATCGGATGAACGATTAAGTACTAAAAACCTTACTTTATCCCCATAAATTTTACATGAACAATACCCTGAAACCTGAAAGTTCGTTCATTTCAATGATTAATTTCTACAAAAATTTACATCACCCCATAAATTTACATGAACAATACCCTGAAACCTAAATTTAGTACATTCTGATAATCGATTAAAGTCTAAAAACCCCGGTAAATTAAACATAAACAATACCCAGAAATTGAAACATGATAATTATACAACTAAATACAATTCATTTCACAAAATCAAGAGCTACTAAAAACAGAAAACCCAGCAATTAGCCAAACATAAAAGATGCAATCGTATAAACTCACAAGCCCTTTATTGAAATGAGACTGAATAACAGAATCATGAACTTCATCAAAATAATACTTGACCCAACTGATTGCAGTAACACGGGTATGCTGCTTTCCATTGAGGGATTTCGTCGAACACTTGGCGGGCAAAGGGTCAGACGGAAACGGAGGGAGAGAAAGAAGCTGACGGGGTTTTGGGCCCTCCTTTGGGCTTCCCAGATGGGCTATGTTGTTCACGACCCGAATCACTTGGTCCGGCCCGGTGGGTCGGGGCGGCGATATTCGAGAGTAGTGTCGAAAGGCGGTTGTTAGTTGGTGTGGTGAGTGGAAGTAGCGGTGGTTTCGGCGAAGGAAGATGGTCATGGTTAAGTTTAGAGGATGACTTTGATGAGAAGAACAAAAGTACGAAGGAGTGTGTTAAGTGAGGTGAGGTTGGTACTTGGTAGTTAGTTGTATCACTCGGAAGATGGTCTAGCTACTCTAGCACTCTAGCCGTATAAGGGAATTGAAGTTCCAAGGGGTGGCCTATGCTGGGCCGCAGCGGCCTTAATTGAGATGTTTGATACTCGTTATGGTTATGGACTTATGGTTATGGAATTGCTTGATTAGAGTATGGTTACATTTTTAAGTTTAGGTTGTGTTTATTTTTTTCAATAAAGGTAAGAAAAAGTAAAAATAATAAGAGACCTCCCTCACGAGGAGAATTTCTTATGCATTTGGAGAGAAAGAATGATAATTAAACTAGAGTTATCATAAAGAGTAATATCCATATTATCGATAATTACATAACTCACATTTTGTTATCTTATGTGATATTTGACTGTGCATAAGCTATCGTCTTTAATACGGAGTAATAGAGTTGTTTCCATTTCTAACAAAATTTAAAAAAATAAAAATAAAAAACACTTTGTGATCTAATATATTGCTTTGTTTGGCTAACAATGCTTACAATATCATAAGTTGTAGGTTTGACTGCTACATGATTACCTAAGAGGTCCATTATGATTACTCGTGCAAAAGTTAAATATTTACGGTTGAATCATCAAAATTAAGTTTACAACAACACAGGGGAGAAGGGGGCCAAGAGACGGGAGTAGAGCAAGGATCCCTATGAGGGGAGTGGCAATAAGTAAAATTTTAACTACTCACCACTAAATCAGTCGTAATTTTTAATTATCCATAGCTAAAGTTCGTAACATTACAATGTTTCATTATGACTCTCATGGCCACATGTTCAAATCTGTTACATACTAAGCCATATCAATTTTATCTTTCTTTATCGTGCTAAGCCTTAACAAACATAATATACAGTTGACATTTGCAAACCACTCAAGTAACAACCCTGACACTATTATTACTCTAACCTCATCAAACTCTTTATACAATATATAAAGGGGTGGATCTATGATTTTAAAATGGTGTCTATGAAAGGTATTTGTAAACCGCCACTTCAATACATGCTTGCATTGTTTTATCTTCAAAGTATTCATTTTGAGTGTACTACTTACTTACTTTTTTATATATATATAGGTAGGGGTGTACAAAAATTGGCCCGGACCTGAAACCGAACCTGAACCGACCTGAACCGGACCGGACCTGACCCGGACCTGTTGATTCAGGTCCGGTCCCGGTTCTTAAAAATCCAGGTTCCCGGTCCCGGTCCGGACCCGGTCCAAACCCGGGAAAATCGTAATTAAAAAAAAAAAAAAAAAGAAGAAAACCAAACTCTGAAAAATTGAAACTGAGTTTTCGTGGACTTATTTGTATTTTCGGTGGACTCATTTGTATTTTTGGTGTTTGAGAATCGGGACTTTATAGACTTTATGTAGTTTTGTAATTGATAATTTTGGTTTGTATGTAATTATTAAATTATGCAACAGGTCTAAAAATCACAAAACAGGTCCATATGCAGGTCCAACAGGTTTTGTATTAAAAAAAAAAAACGAAAAAGACACAAAACAGGTCCATTCAGGTCCAAACCCGGACCGGACCTGTTAATTCAGGTCCGGTCCCCGGTCCTGTTAATTCAGGTCCGGTCCCCGGTCCTCATAATTACACAATTCAGGTCCCCGGTCCAAACAGGTCCGGTCCAGGTCCGGTCCGGTTTTGGACCGGTGTACATCCCTATATATAGGGCATGTGTCACTCATGTTCCTTATTAGATACCTACACGACGATATCAAGATTAAATGTAGACCCATCGAGCAAGGACAATCATTCTAGTCTTATGGTAGATAATAACCAAGAGTTATGAAATGATATAAAGTTATGAAATTGTCTATCGTGAAAAGAAAAACAGGAAAGAATTTCATTTCTCTTTCGAGTTTTTTATTAATATGGGAATTGTATACAACATAAGGCTCGTTTGGTTAAATGTAGGAATTGCAAATTCCTTGGAAAATTGATTTCCCATGAAATTGAACTTCCAAGGAAATTCTAAAATTTGTTTGGTTAACTAAGGGGTTGTTTGGTTACACAAAGAAAATGAGGGAAGTGGAAAATCATGGGAATTTGAAAATACACGAGTTGTTTGGTTGACAATAAAAAGTGTAAATGAGAGAATTGCAAATTCATGGGAATTGTGACTTCCCACAAAATATGGGAAGTTAATTACCTAACTCCCCCTAGGTAAGTCAAACTTTCCATGATTTGCAACTTCCCTCATGCAAACCAAACAACTTTATACAATTCCCATGAAATATAAATTCCCATGGGAAGTAATTTCCTATAGCAACCAAACGACACCTAAGGAAAGTGGAAATTCCCATGGGAAGTTTCACTTACCTAGGTCCCCCTAGATATTTAACTTACCCCATTTTGTGGGAAATGAAAATTCATGAAAATTTCTACTTTTCATTAATTTATTAACCAAACAACTTCAAATAATTTCAATTCATAAAATTTCCGAATTCCCATATTTTTCTTGGCAACCAAACAACCCCATATGAATCCATCCAACTCAAAAACTCTTTTGAAGCTCAAGAACAAATCAACAATCACCAATCGTAAATTGCAACTTATCTCATGTTGTACAAAAAATATCTCATGCAAAAAAAATCAAAAAGAACATCCAACTAAAAAAAGTGCAAAAAAGATGCTCATTTTCTAATCACCCGTGTCGCAATACTGCACAATTTCCAGACTGCAGACGTTACTTTCTTACCAGCAACAACAAATCAAAACAAGGGCGCGGCACCTCGTCCAACGTTGTCGGTCCCACTTAAATCCCATAAAATTCGCCAAACTTTTTTTTTTTTCCTCAGATTTTCCAAGATTTTTAAGCCCAACAAAAATAACCCAAACCCATAAACCCTAAAAAAAAAAAAAACAAATAAAAATAGTTTCTTTGACAGTTCTTCTCAGTTTCCCCCCTTTTCGCACCTCTTCAACTCACTGAAGAGGGAGCGACCAACATTTTTTTTTTTCAATTTATTTCAAATGATCCAAAAATCCCCATCTTCTCAGGTATGTCCTACAATCTGTTTCTTTTCCAAAGTTTCGATTTTGATATTTTTGTCTGTTTTTTTTGTTTTTGTTTTTGTTTTTTTTTTCTAATTGTGTGTTTGTTGAAATGGGTATTTGTAGAATTGATTGATGATATCTGGGATTTTTTTTTAAAAAAAAAATAAAAAATTTATTTTATAATAATGGGTATAGAATTGAATTTGCAGAATAACAAGCAGTTGGTATTTGGGGATGTCCATGGAGCTGTTTTGCTTCCTAGAGAGATGGAGCTTGAAAAAGCCCAAAATTTGGACCTTAAATTTCAAGTTCCTGACATTGGAAAAGCGTTTCAGGTATATTTATTTTTTTATGTACTTATTTCTTTAGAATTTATGCAATCTTTAAAAAAGTTTAATTTGGTTTGTTTGCAAATGCATGTGATGAAATTAGTCATTGAGTAAGATTTTATCTTTTGTCTATTAGTTTTGGTACTTCATCATGCATGAATAGACATCTTTCAATTGTTTAGCATTCGACACCGAATTCGTTGTCTGTTTAGTTGAATTAATATGTATGTAATTGACTGAAATGCTGATATAAATGTGGCTCAGGATTTTATTGGAACTAGAGAAGTAGGTGAGTTTCTTAGTGGTGCTCTTGCAGGAGCAATGACAAAGGCTGTATTAGCACCTCTTGAAACTATCAGGTTTGCTTTCGTTTCGAATAATCTTCTTTGTTTTAATTGCTTTTGTCTTGTATATGTATCTACATTGGTTTTGTTCTTCCTGAATGCAATGTTAAAGGATGCATGTTTGGCGAAATGTGTTAGAAAATGGAAACTGCTTTGGACATTAATGACAATATGTGACCTGAAGTTTCTGATTCTTACTTGCATGTTCATTTCATCTGACATTAGAATTGACCCTCTTTATACAACTTACAACATGAAAACTCATTTGACATGGTCTGGTGTAAATAACTGCATGATACCACATGATGCAAATTTAGCTGTCCTGCTCCTGCATGCTGAAACGTAGCTTTCCTGTATTGTCTTTTATTAAATTGTGATGCCACTTTTCATCTGTTTCTTAGATTTTGTGTTCGGATTTTTTTTTATGAACTTGTGTGCAAGTAATCGTTTTGCATGTCTTTGCTAAAGATTTGTGTACTCTGCTTGAAGATTGTAGCAGGGTTGTAACTTAGATGCTGTTTATAAGTCTGCAACTCGATTATTCGGCTTGTTGTCCATAATTTTTGCTGTCAGAGATTTTTGATTCATCAGTTAATTTTCTTGATGGGTAGTGTTGAATACTGAGGCAATTGAGTTGTACTTCCTTGGTTGCAATGAGTATTTGCTGTTTCAAATTTTAAGTGTCTAATTTGGCTGTGCTCTTGAATTTTAACATCATGATATCAGGACAAGAATGGTCGTTGGTGTTGGGTCTAGAAGTATACCTGGAAGCTTCATTGAGGTTGTTCAGCAGCATGGGTGGCAAGGTCTCTGGGCAGGAAATACTATTAACATGCTGCGAATAGTCCCCACTCAAGCAATTGAGCTTGGAACATTTGAGTGGGTCAAGCGAACAATGACATCGACCCAAGAGAAATGGATCCGTGATGGAGATCCTAAGCTTCAATTTGGCGACATCACTTTGACCATTCCTCTCTCATGGTTGTCTCCAGTTGGCCTGGCAGGTGCTTCTGCTGGTATTGCTGGCACACTTGCTTGCCATCCTCTGGAAGTTGTTAAGGTATCTAAGCTGAAGGCTTGCCGTCTGTTTTATCATCTTCTTTTCTGATCTTTTTATTTGTTTATCGACAAAAGTGAAAAACCATCATCTTAATTGATAAGCATATTAGAAAGCCACTTTTTTTTTATTCTTCGTTTTTATTGGGAGGATATGGTGAAGAATGCTGTCATTCTTGAATACCTGGGGAATTTGTTTGATGTTTTCAATATGCCACATATTATTCTTTGATGTTTTCTCTGTAAATAACATTGGTTGCTGGCTTCTTTCTGGCAGGATCGATTGACTGTGAGACCTGAGGATTACCCTAATTTAACAGTTGCTCTTGGTAAAATTTACAAAGATGGAGGTGTTCGTGCCTTGTATTCTGGTCTTGCTCCAACCCTTGTGGGGATGCTCCCATACAGCACATGCTATTATTTCATGTATGACAAATTAAAGACGTCTTACTGTGTTGCAAAGGATAAGAAAAAGCTGAACCGTGTTGAGATGCTTTTGCTTGGAGCTGTTTCAGGTGAAACACTAGACTCCATTTTGTCTTTTTTTTTTTGTTAAATAAATGCTCTTGAGCTTATTTTGTGCTTTTCTATTGCTGAGAGATCATTCCATGCCATGATAAGCTAGTGTTTTTTTTTTTGTTTTTTGTTTTGTTTTTTTTTTTTTTTTTTTTTGTAAGGATGATAGGCATTTATGTGGTTAGTTAACTTTGTTCAGTCTTGCTTTGTATGATATATATATTCATGTTAGGCGACCCCAAATCATTTTGAGACTAAGGCTTTGTTGTTTTTGTTGTATTTTGGCAGGTCTTACAGCAAGTACAATTAGCTTTCCCCTTGAGGTTGCAAGGAAAAGGTTGATGGTTGGAGCACTACAAGGCAAATGCCCTCCAAATATGGCTGCAGCACTAGCCGAAGTAATTCGGGAAGAAGGTGTAATGGGGCTTTATAGAGGTTGGGGAGCAAGTACTTTGAAAGTCATGCCAAACTCAGGCATCACCTGGATGTTTTATGAAGCCTGGAAAGACATATTACTACTTGAAAGACGCCATTTATAAGCATCTTAAAAACCCTCGTCCCCTGTTTTAAGAGAGGAGATGATATATGATAATGTTCTTTTGCTTCAATTAGAATTTTGCTCATTGGCCCTCTATTAATGAGAGGCTGTGTATCATTTAAAAAAGAGAGAAATCTAATTATCTAGGTTCTTTAGGATTTAGGACTACATTGACTAAGTTACTAATCTTGTTTCGGCTTAAACTTTGTTAATTAATGAAGAATATCTGTGAAATTACTCTAATTACTACTTCCTCTGTTCTTTTTTACTTGACTTGTTTTTTTTTATCACGCTTTCCAATGCAAATCTTTTGACGATCAATAACGTTAATTCACCATAAGTAAAAAATATAAAACATATATATTACTCCAATATATTCATAGTACTTATTGAGACATATTCATAGTACTTATTGAGACGAATACAAAAAGATCCAATATGAATATGTTTTTCCTTACATATTATTCACAAAAGACGGTTAGGGTGATGTATAGTGTAAAAGTCAAAGCGGGTCAAGTAAAAAAGAACGGAGGAAGTATGTTTCTTGAAGCATAATTACCCGTGGGCTACCCACAGTGTTAGTGTTTGGGGGATAAATTGCTCTTGTTTGCCATTTAAAGGTTTATCAATTTGTTAGTGTTGGTTGAGCTCCGCTTGTCACTGTTGTAACATGGTTCAAATGTCTTGAAATAATCGGTAAAGAGTAAAGACATTGCAGTTCAGTTGCTAAATTAGCATGTTTCTCCGTAAAAGAAATTTGTGAAAATTCACCAAATAACAAAAAGGAGCCAAAACAGTTGAAAAAACTACAATTGCCTCCAATTCTAATTAGCATTAAAACCTTTGTCAAAAAAAAAAAAAAAAAAAAAAAAAAAAAAAAAAAAAATTAGCATTAAAACCACATAAAGAGTATGAACACTTCACGCTTTATTCCAAAATAAACGAAGGCATTTAACTCATTAACCCAATTGATTTAACAGTTGCTACTCCGTACTATTTACTAAAATTGTACTCCGTAACACATACAACTAAAATCAAATGACAGCTACAATTAGTACACCAGTAATTGGTAAAGTACATTTAATTTTCATATACAGGTATGGCAGAAGGGTATAGTTGGTGTAGTATACAGGAATGTCAGAGGGACGAGACCTGCTGTATACTCGTACATATTAATCCTGTATTTCTACTGCACTCTCTCTTCTTGCTAAATACTGAGATAGTCGACTACTGAGCGGCAGTGAGCTCTCGACAAACATGTAGAGGCAAAATAAACACAAACCTGAACGAAAATAGAACCATAAGTTAGCTATGCAATAAACGTGATGATCTGGATGTAACCAATACACACACAATGGTAAGAATGACCAGTAGTTTATTCAAAGCACTAATTGGCAAACATTATCAACAAGGAAGAGCAGGAAAAAAAATGAGTTGACGAATAGGGATAAATGAGTAGCATACACCATGCACAACCCTTTGGCACATAGAATAGAGAATAAAAAGGCGATTAGAAAATGCAAGTTGATTATGCTAGTATGACACGTAATCATCCTTCGCCTCAAACCCCACAAACAAGAAAATATTGTGATCTTGGAAAACCTGAAATCAGTCTGTAGCATGGCCAAATAAAACCCAAGTATTGAACTCTGACTAAAGTAAGCAACCCAAGTGGGTGCAAGTCATCGAAAGTAAAACTACAACCAAGGGCATAGAGAAAGCATGATGAAAGGCCACTCAATGATGTTACATAGCCATGGCTGGGAAAGCAATTTCAAAGACCAGGCCGAGGCCAGTGAAATTTGCGAAAAAAAAAAACCCCAAATACCTGCCTAAATGATTCCTACTGAAACTGAAAAGTATAACCAGCCAGGAAGCCAGTGATGATCTTGTAAGATGCAAACAGCAATAGCAATTTATTAGAAACTTATGACTACTGCGTATTTAGTAGGTACACCAGAACATCAGATGTTCATTTTCAAATAAACAATGCAGAGGCACTCTTTAACTTGCCAGTTGCAACAAAGAATCAACATTAACTTTCATTAATTTTACAAACTGAAGCACATAATACATAAGGAAACGGGTAAAGGAAGGTACCAGCATAAGCAACTGTCACCCCAGAGACGATCCTTCCAAGAACTGACAGAAAGTAGAGACTGACAACCACCTGCAAGACACACAAGACGGTTATGAAGCACCAATCTCAGACACCAAATTCTTCTCTAAACATCCACATCAGATCACAATTCACAAACTTGGCAACCAATGCTAGGTCCATCTCATGGTCAAGAGAGACTTATTAGAGCAACTTGAAGATATACAGCTACCATAACAGCATTTACTATGACTGAAAATAACAAAACATAACATGTAATACGAGTAAATTGATCTTCCATATTTCCAAGGACACAGGTATGCTCTGGTATCACACAGTTAATGTAATAAGGTTCACAATCATAATTAGAACAAGACTCTTAAAAGAGAATGCACATCCCATTTTTTTGCCCCACTATTGACAAATGCTGAGAAACAAAAGCAATAAGAAACTTTATACCATGCATATCAATGTGAATCAGCAAAACCAAGAAGAAGGCCAAGATGCACATATGACTAAGAATTATATACCCGAACAAAGAGCCTCTTATCATGACCCGTCGCCGCAACTCGAAGAACAGACTCAGCAGCCCCAACAGTATTAGCCACACACGCAAAAATACTGTTGGCAGTGTCTTGTGAAATCTGCCATTCTAATGGATCAACTGGCACCCTGCATTTGCAATTTTGCATAGAGGACAATACAATTAAAATACAATCCAAACCCAAAATTAATACGCTTTCAACAGTTCTTTTCCCGAAATTCCATTGCATATCACAAAAAAAATAAAATCAAAAACCCAATTCTACAATTCAAATATAAACACTTCCCAAAAAATATTTAAATTATGAAGATCAACTACAAGAAAACTTCAAAGGGTTCGCATTACAGCAGAAAAATTAAACCCCACATCATCACCCTCATCAATTAGAAACCAAAACCCTAAAAAGAAATCTTATAATAGGTAATTCAATTAAAAATAAACCCAGTTGAAATAACGATCAAAATTGGGGAAAACAACAAAACCCCAACAAGAAAAAAAAGGGAAAATCACAAAATTAATGAAAAAGAAGAAATCACATACGAAATATTGAAATGGCGGAAGAGGAGGCCAAGAATGGCGAGAGAGCAGAGAATAACGAGGAAGACATCGGAAAGAAGAGAGAGAAAACTGGAATTGCGGAAACAACAATGGTAATAAATCAATGTTCCACTAATAAGCAAAACTATAGCTTTTCCTCCTTGTTGGCCTTGATGTTGCTGCACATCGTCGTCTTCCATTTTCTCTCACTTTGATCAAATTTGGGGTTTTTTCAGTTTTGACAGTTTCTTTCTGATGAGGTTTGCCAGTTTAGGGGTATTTTAGAACTTTTACTTTGGCTTTAAAGTTGCCTTCTTTGAATACTTTTAGGGGCCGTTTGGTTGGGGTTAATAATCAAAGGGAAAGAGAATGAATATGCCTCATTCCCTTCTCATTCCCTTTATTGTTGTTTGTTTGTCATTTTTTTCATTCCCTTTACCCATTTTTATTTTTGACTTTACCCAAAATCCTTCTATCTTGATTCCCCACCCCCCCAGCCTTTTCCATTCCCTTTCCTAAGCCAACTACCTCACCCACCAGCCACTACCTCACCCACTTACCCCCACCGCACAACCACCTCGCCGGAGCTTTCCTAGTCCTCGTCGGGTGTCGCCGGAGCTCGCCCAATCCTCGCCGGCAGGTGCCGCACCTTCCCATCTCCAAATCAGAACTCGTCGCACCTCCCTCTAAAGAATTCTCCCTTCCCGGAAAAACTTAACTCACCCACGAAAACCCATCCTCGTCTAGGGTTTCGAGGGTAAGGGAGGTGACGGCCGACGGTTTTAAGGGGACGAGGATGGGTTTCTAGGGTTTTTCGTGGGCGGGGGGGGGGGGAGGTTTTCGTGGGCAAGGGAAGGTGGTTTTCCGGGTGGCGAAAGGTGGGGAAGTTGTAGCGACGGGCGGCGAGTGGTGGGGAAGGTGTGGCGACGGGCGGCGATGGTGGAGGAGGTACGGCAACGAGCGGTGAGGTGGTGGTTGGGCGGTTGAGTGGTTGGAGAAGTCACTACCACCAATGCACAACCCCTCATTCCCATGCCTTTGATTTTTAAAAACAAACAACATAGTATAAAGAAAGGGTTTCATTCCATTCTCTTTGATTCCCTTTGTTCATTCCATTCCGTTTACCCCGTGTGAACCAAACGGCCCCTCATTATGATAGATAGGTAATTTTTTTTAATTATTATTATTATTATTATTTTGTGACAAGGGATACAAAAGAGACAAATTAATTACTAAAGCAAATAAAAGTAACCGCCGCTTCTCCCGCGATTTGATGAGCTAGATGAACATGCGATGTTGTTGATCCGCCTTATGTATATTACAGTATTGAAAGATTGAGCCAAGCTGTTTTATCTTATGAATGAGCTAAAGATAAGCGATGTTACCATGGCCATCCCCCCGAATAAGGGTAACAACATCATATGAGTCAGTAAAAACCGTGAGGAAGTGAACCCTCGATCCAAAGCTCATTGTAATCCATACATGCATGCCAAAGCTTCCGCTTTAAAGGCAATTAAATTTAATATCAAAGTGATTTTTTTGACACTACAGTACAATTTTCAATTTTCATTTGTTTCACTTATACGTGTGTCAAAATTAGTTTTCAGTTTACCATGTAAATGTTTGTGAAAATATTGATAGAAATATAACGTATTGTACAAGTGATGTACTTTATTTGTTACGAGTACTTGTTATTGCACTGTGGGAACTTGGAAAATTATACATCCCAAAAAATCAATCTAACTAGATTCAAATACTACAATTTTGGTTATGTATTAATCACAAAATGAGGTTGAAAATACGGAGGAGTGTATGGGTGGATCAAAAGTTTAATCCAAGGATTTTATAATAAGTTCATTTTCTGAAAACTTTGTTTAATGTTAGAGATTCCATCACTCTCAACTTCTCAAATCTCATGTCTTAATAAGATAATTACCAAATTTCTCAACAGCGAAATTACCAAATTATTTATCCTTCCAATACAAATATATAAATTTATTTCCTAATTAAAGTGTTAAGATATTGTTTCCAAAAAAAAAAAAAAAAAAAAAAAAAAGTGTTAAAAGATATAGGATAAACTTTGACGGCCAATTAAAATTCGAGATAATATAGGATTGAGGACTGTATATATTAATAAGTCTTTGTTAAAATTCCTGTTTTATTCTTATTAGCAATTGCCCTAAAAATCACCCGTTATATCGAAAAACTTCTCCACTCTAAACTTTGACCCCCCCCCCCCCCCAAAAAAAAAAAAAAAAAGAAGATGAGAATCTTTGCGATTGTTTTGGTTCTTCTTTTGCAGTTATTGCTTCTCGTAATTACTACCAACTGCTCCAATTTAGGTAACAAATATAGTATTTACTACTTCATTCATATCTGTTTCCTATAATTTATTATTTAATTTGTTATTCTTGTTGCAATTTAGATTTTCTTTACATGAATTTGCTACAAATTCATGATACAACAACATGTTTCGTTACAATTACGGTATTCTTAGTTTTAGAGGGTACGTATAAGAGAGTTTATGGGAGATGTCCAAATAAACTTGTTACGGAGTACAACCCTAATTTGTGAATAGCTTTATAATAGTTAACACCTGTCAATCAAACAAGATCCGAAAATATATAATAATGTATATTCATATCCTATTTTTGTCGCAATAGTAAAGATGCTAAAGTGAATTATCTACTTTACAATTAAGAGTTTTTTCTAAAAAAAAATTAATCACTTTTACATAAATTTTTTTCTCTACTATTAGTTTATTTTTCTAAACATATACTTCCTATATACGTGTCCTGCATTAATGCAGGGTATATTCTAGTTTGCCATGGGGTAGTTCCGTATGATAGATATTAAATTTATGATAAAATTTGTTGTCGTAGATTAGGATATACTTTATATAATTGTGTAATTTATGTTAGTTGCATCTTATTGTAATTCGATATTTGAATCAAAATTGCAATCACGTAATCTGATTAATCATTACCAATGTTAGTTTATCAAATAAATTTTAACTCTTATTGCATTATAAATGTCAAACAGGAATGCAGGAAGAACATAACAACATGAAGGTTGTGGAAAATAAGCAGGTGTATATTGCAGCACTCCGTGAGATTGGAGGTAGGGGATTAATAGGTACTCACGCCAGTAGAGGTGGTCACGGTCTTGGCGAAGGAGCCCCAACACCTAAGGATGAAGTTGCAACTGTAGGTGGATTCCGAAACAGTAAATTTGCTGAAGTAGATGTTGTGGCAGCAGGAGCTGAAAGCGCAGCTGCAGATGAAGCTGAAATCGCGGCTGAAGAAGGAGCTGAAAGCGCAGCTGCAGGAGAAGCTGAAGAAGGGGCTGATACTGCAGCTGGCATTGCAGCTGCTGCTGCCACTGCGGCTGCTGCTACAGCTTCTATGGCCAGTGAAGCAAGATCAATTAGTCCAAATGCACCCTTGGGGCTCTCTCTTTGTCTAATTTTAGCATCCTGTGGATTTTTATTGCTTAATGACTTTTAGATTTAAGCCTAGATACTACTATACTAGCATGTGCTGATTAATGAGTTGATATATTTTTTTTTCGTCAAAGATTTTACAAATGATGAAAATAATCTTAAGACTTAAATTTGTTCCTAAGAAATTAACATTACATTAACGCTTTATATATTACGCGTGCATATACAAATACTGAATACAAGCCCTCCTCACGAGGGTAATTCTTAATGTAACGTAGTAATTAGAATACGTTCGATGATTGAAAGTTATTTCTGGACCAATTAAGGGTCTGTTTACATTTACTGAGCTGAACTTAATAACGCTGAAATGAATATTTTATGAGAGAAGAAAATTAGGAGCGGAGCTAAATTGAACTGAAATTAAGCTGAAATTAACATGCCTCAAGTATATATTCACTTTTTCTATTTTGTAAATTTTTTTTAAAAGGTATTTCCACTTTGACTATTTTATACTTCATAAAGAAGTATAAGAATAATATATACATATGGGCACTTATTAGTTAGATGAAAAAGCATTGTCCACGATCCGTGTTTAACTAAGGAGGTTCTGCACGATGACATTCACAAAGAGACATCAATCGAATTATGGTTGGGCAAGAGATTAGAACTCATGACCTTTGATAGAAAAGACATCTTCTAAAGCTTGAACATAATAATGTACTTTGTATTCTATTTAAACAAAATCTTAACTTGATCTTTTGTTTCCTTGTAGGGCATGGCCCTACTAGGACACAAGGTGGCTCCGCCACTGGCTATATACAATTTAGATAGCCGAAGGTATATATTTACTTCCATTCGATGATCTCATCTCAATGAATTCAATTCAATTAATATTGAAGATTACGATAAGGCAATCTATTAATTGTCTTCCTTCCGCCTTCATATGAGCACTTCAAGGAGATTAATTGTCTCTCTTCCGGCTTCATATGAGCCCTTCAGGGAGATCATGCTATATGGCACGCAACAATGGTTCTCTCTCTTTTGAAGATGTTAAATCAAATTTACTTTTAAAAGAAAATTTTGACATTGAAATATTGATGAAATGTTGAAGGTTTAAATTACACGTAAGAGAGAGATCACACTGAAAAAATAGTACCAATAATTAATGAATCCAAGGATTTTTTCGCAAAGATTGTAATAAGTCGAATGAGCACGATGTTTCCAATTGCTTAACGTTAAATAAAAAGAGAAGAAACAAGAAAAAGGCTAAGGAAATTGCATAAGTCGTTTTTGGTAAGATAGAATTGATGATATTCTTTTGGTTACTTCACAAAAACAAAAAAAAAAAAATAAAAAAAAAAAAAAAAAAAAAAAAATCCTGATTGGGTGCTTGATTCTGATTGATCCTAACATATTTGTTGTTCACAAAAGGATCTCTTTATCGATTTTTCTTGGAAAAGAATAGATATATTTCAATGGGAAAAATCATTGCAAAGTTCATGGCACTAACTTCATTCGAATAAAGACATGTGATGATAAGATCAAGACTTTATCTAATGTTCAATGTGTTCCTCATTTAAAGCATATTATCATCTCATCTCTAGGCACTCTTAATAATTCTAATGGTGCAAGATATTATGAAGACCATCAGACATAAAAGTTTCTACGTAGTCTTCTATTATGGCTTATTCATTCACATCATATCCAAGTCGTTATCATACATATATGTACATGTCACAATATTCTAATATCAATTTATGACCAAGTTTTACGGGTAACATGTCCACTTAATACCCCTTTGGGTTCTTACGACAAGCACACATAAAATTTGGTCTAAGGTAAGATAGTTGGGTGTAGCCTAAATTTTATTAGCCCATTATTTTAGTGGTGTACCTGTGCATATCCTAGAACCTTTCTAAAAAATCGAGCAAGGTCCACTGAACCTTTTAAAAAAATTCTTGAACTTAGAAGTAATAAATAGAGATATGGTTCTTGAAAATTCCGGAATATTATGAATACAAGAACGATAGGGATTAGGGAAGGAATATTTTAGCCATTTCTTTCAACTTCCATCTTCAGCTATAAATATTGGTGATGGACATTCAATCAATATATACACACAAGAATCCAAACCTATTGACAAGCCTTCATACCTTTCTACTCTCTTTGTGTAAAATCCATTTTCTCTTTACGAATCCACCAATCTCTTTTATACTACTCATTTGTGAATTTAGTACCTATTATATTTGTTTACTTGTTCCCTCCTATTGTCATATAGTAGATAGTAGATTATTTTTCAATCATGAGATCAATATGTATCGGAAACCATATGTGAATCAAGTGCACTTATATCTACTAAATTACAAATATTGACAAGCAGCTCAATATTGACACCAGAATACTTCAGTTAATCAATAGCTCATACAATCAATTAAGCAATTGATTCGATAAACAACTGATAAAATACGAATAATCCTGATTTGCTTCTCCATAATCTATCTGACATTACTTGCATAAATAAAAAAATCTCCCAAAAACTTGCAGAATCAACAAATTGACAAAAAAATTGACAAATTTAGAGCAGTACTAACATGCAGCAACAAATTGACAAAAAAATCAACAAATTTAGAGCAAGGCTTTGGGGAATCAACAAATTCTTACAAAATCAAAAGCTTAATCACATAATTTTGAGCCAAAATTAATAGAATTGCGAAAATTTACCAAAATCAATTCGAGCAAATTAGAACAACAATATGTGAAATCTCGACAACTAGCGATTTGACCGACTTCGAGCAACGATTTGGAGCAACAATATGTGAAATCTGAGGATCTGAGAATCTGAATTCGAGTAGCAATTCGAGCGAAGAAATAGAGTATGTAGCAATTTGTGAGAATTTGAGGTAAGAATTCGAATAGGATAAAAAAAAAAAAAATAGATTTCTCACATTTTGTGAATAAGAAGAGAGAATGCAGTTTTTTTTTTTTATCAAATAAACAGTGCCTTGTTTTATTTTATTGAACAATTAGGACGAAAATGAAATTCACCCTCTTTGCTCTGATATAGAGGACGAAAAATAAATTCGTACTGTTTGCTTTGAAATAGAAAGACAAAAATAAATTTCGCCCTTTTTGCTCTGTAATAAAAGGGCAATTATCTTGTAGTGATATTAGATTATTCAAACTATCATGCATTCATCTTGGTTTTACGTATTTCATTATATCTTTTACTTTTAGAAAATATAATCTCTTAAAAGTATTTTCGTCTTCCTACGTACTCTTGCATTGTATTATGCGTTATCTCTCACCTTTTCCTCAACTTCCTTCGATTCTCTCCTAACTTCTCATTCAACTTCTACGACTTTACCAATTTCAAAAACTACTTGCTTGTGATTGCTTTCTTTGCAACAAAACAAATTTTACTCTAATAATGCTTCCATAAAATGGCTTAATAACTCTTCTTAAATTTTATTTTAAAAGCGGTTTAAAAGTGTGTTTCTCTCTCATATCTTTTTTCTTCCTTCTTTTACATTTTAGTAAGCCTAATCTTAATCGCCCCATCCATTTACCATCTTTAATAAGCTCTCTTTAAGTATTCTCTAACTCTTCCCCAATTTCACTCTAAACATGGTCTCTTAAAAGTGATTCCTTCTCTTTGCCCTCCTCCCTTCTTTCCTGTTCTTATGTTTTCGTCTCCCACGCACTTCCCCTTATGTTTCGTCTCCCATGCCTTTCCCCTCGCTCTAATTGACAATGCAAGCAATAATTTAATTGGCCTGCTGTTCTATAAGGGAGCCAAAGCTGTTAAATCTATTCTCAAACCCTCTACCAAGCTGATTTTAGTTACGTATTTGCAATTTAAGCAATCTTCATTAAATCTACAAATGAACAAAAAAAAAGGTAATTGCACTTATGTTATCTAAATTTACAATTGGAAACATGAAAGCTTGTGATCGAAAGTGAGAGAATTTAAAAAAAAAAAATTGTAATTGCACTATGTTACTACAGGAAATGAACATGTAACTATAAAGTGAGAGAATTCATGTTGCACTAAATTATATAGAGTAATTGTATATGCATAATGATATACGACTATACAAGTATATATTGATCCTATCTTCAAATTGTTTATCTTAGCTTATGCAATGGTTTTGCATTATTCATTTTCATAGTAATGCAAAACCAATTGCACTGGCCTAGTTACGGGTTGAAACGTAATTGTTGCTAATAATAATCAAGATTAAGGAATATTACATGTAAAGATAAACTTCACATTAGTTAATGATGCCTTTCCACTGAACGAATTCAAAATAAATTGATGCTCGGTACTAGTGAATGGTATGATTTTGATATAGATATATTCCCAGGGTCGCATGCCTCCCTCACTAGTAAAAGATTTGGTAATAACCATACGATCCGACACCAAAGCACTTTGCAACAAATAGGTAGCAAATGGTATCCATACTAATTTGAAACAAAACAATTTAATCTCCTTCAAATTGTTGTGGAAACACAGGCGGAAGCTCACAGCTTTGATCACCAGGCTCTATTGGAAACTACAAAACAGAATTAATTGATTTCAGCATATATTATATACGACGAAAGATGAAGGTCTTGAATCAATAGATGTCAATGGACGGAGCTCAAGTGCAGCTATAATATATTGAGAGAGAGCTACCTAAACTAAATTGAAAAAATTGAAAAAACAAAGTCCTTAATCTTGAATTTTCATCAAAACTCATTTTGTCAATTTCGGGTTGGATGGACTATTAGAATTCCTTAGTTTGAATGGATTAAACTCATCCAAAGTTGTGCAAATTGCAATTTCTAAAAGTGGCACAAGTATAAACTTCTAAAAGTAGAGCACTTAACTATATATTGCACTTGTTTACATGTCGTGTAATATTGTGAATTATAAAGGGAGTTGGCCATATTTACCTCTATCTCAAGCTTTTCCAATATATACTGGAAAGGATTTGATAAGGCAGGGGAGATCCAGCACTATCCTGCTATCACCAAACACCGAGGAGATGCGCAGTTTCAAGACCGAGTGAAATAGATAGTGTGGGCTAGTAGGTAGTTTACTTATCTGTAAAGAAGAAGAAATTCTTGCAAGTAAACAAGGGTTTGCCACATAACATGTTAGCTAATAACACGAGCAATATTTCAAGAATTATACGTACCAGAGGATCGTATGCTCGGAGGCCTAGATACTTAGGGCTTGCGCTAACTGCAAGTCTTTCTAAAGCATATTCAGTTCTGCAGTTCACAAACATATGCACACTTTCCAAACTTGAAACGTTTTTAAAAGTCCATGTCAAACCTTGTTCACCTTCACCACCATAGTACTCAAACTTCTTCAATTTCCTAGCACTAAGTTCCAATTCTTGCAAATCTGAGCACTGTCCAATCTTGAGGAAGCTCAAGCGAATGAAATTATTGTCAATATACAACTTACTTGGAAGATAGAATGCCCTGCCACTGTGTGACTTCCCCTTGTACATTAACGTTGTATAGATCAAGGGTAGTTAAGTAACGTGATAAAACCAAATCATTATTCTCAAGGTTCAGAACGCAGGAATCTAGATGCAGATCTTGCAAACACGAAAACTGAGAAAGAAAGGAACCACTAATAACATGCAATTTAGTGTAAGCGGGATAGACAAGACCCCTGAAACCCTCTTGACGACATATAAAGTAGAGGGTGAGACTCTGCAGAGTACCCTTGCTTGCAGCAACAAAGTTGATCCACCGATTCACTTCATTAGCGAAACTGAATTCCAGGCAACACACAAGACTAAAGGATTTGAACTTCTTATGATCCCTGTAGTTATGTAACACCTGATCCACACGTTTCACATATTTTTCTGTATAGGGTCGTTGTTGACAGATAGATGAATGAGTCCCGTCATTCGGCGCATCAGACAATTCATACCACTCCAATTCAAGAGACGGAATGTCTAAGCACAAGTTTCTCCATTTTCTCGATAACATTGACATTCTTGCAACATCACACAATGACATATATGACAGAACAGGTAACAAAACCCCATCAGGAATCTCACTGAGATGATCAATCTACATGGGACATAGGTAGCATCTCTATTAGAATTACGAATTCAAAAACAAATTAAGGGTGTGTTCTATTCACCTCGTGATTATTCACCTTATTCCTAGCACGGTATCTCCTCCAAATTCCATATACTGCAGCCGCAGAAATTACTACGACCAGCACTTTATGCAGTTTCATGTTCAAAAATTCCAGCAGCAATGTTTTCCTTTATCAAAATCATAATTCAAAATAGGAACAAAAATTTAGTACCAATTAAAATTGTAAAACTACATCAAATATAAAAGTTTGATTTTGGTAAAATTAAACATTACCAGTTTCAATTAATTTCATGGAAAATTTAAAAGGTACAATACCATCAAATTAGATTGTATCCTAACATTAATGGAAAATTTGATTCAAAACATCAAATTTGGCTCATAATTTTCTTCACTAGCAACAAAATTCGTCGTTATGATCTTTTATAACCTTAGTAATTATACATATAATTAACAGTTAAATAATCAATTATAGAAGAACCCTTAATTGAGTATAAACCCATAATTCAATTAATGATAAATCACCCTAGATTGTAAAATTGGTATTGGGTAATTACAAAAAGAGTGAAAATCTAACCTTAGCAATGTCGGAAGTCGCTTCAATGGAGAACGTGGAGTGGCTTTAGCGGGAAGTTGCGAGAGAAAGAAAGGTATTGACTAGGTCGGTAATTTTAATACTTGTATAATTTTATCTATATTTTGTGTTTGTAATTTATTTAATTAAAATCTAAAAAAACAATTGTTATACAGTAATAATGATAAAAATAAAATTAACAAATGTGATTTGAGGTTTTTATTTCATTTTTACATTATAAATTTGTGAACATCATATGATATCGGCTTTTATCAATAACTAGGTTAAGTCTTGTGCCATACACATTTATAATTAAACTTTACAACAAAAATTATAAAGAATGTTGTCAAAAAAAAAAAAAAACAAAAAAAAAAATATTGAACAAAATAACTTGAATATTAATTTATACCAATACCAAATGCGTGCGTAAAGGATTTAGAAAATTTGGAAGCTATAAGGTTTTATATATATAAGAAAATGAAAATATTAGCTTAGGTTAGTACCTGTATCCGAATCATATACATTTGTCCTTATATTTTGTTGATACACTTTGGGCCTGTTCGGCATTAGCTTTTAAGGTAGCTGTTAACTTTTAGACCTAGTCAAAACACTACCTTAAAATAATATTAGTGTTTGGTGAAGTAGTGTTTTAAGTAGTTGTTAGAGGTAAAGGTAGCTTTTAAGTAGCTGTTGTTAAAAGCTAAAAAAGATAGCTTTAAAATTATAAAGTAGCGTTCAACCTCTTTTCTTTTTATTTTTTTATTTTTTTATTTTTTTTATGAATATGTTTTTATCTTTTTGACTCAGTGTTATTTGTTTCGGTCAACCATAATGTCAAAATTTTCTATTTCATATCTTTTTTTCTTTTATTCCTTTCATTATGAGGAGTAATTTTTTTTCTATCTTTTATTTTATAAATTGGTTATTTATTAGCAATATACATTATACTATAAAATTTTAAAATTTTCAAACATATGATACATAACACGTCACAACAACAACAACAACAATAATAATAATAATAATTAATGACTGTATTCTATAGTTTCAATCGCTACTTTTACCGAACACTCATAGTATGAACCACTACCTTGACAGCTGACCTCTAACGGCTACTACTTGACAGCTCACAGCTACCTCTACAACTGACAGCTACTCAAAAGTTGATAGCCAACAACTACAACTAATTTTGCCGAACAGACCCTTTGACTGGCATAATATGAAATTTTAGTTGATTTTAGATTATTTTAGGATAATTAGTATTCCGTAATCAAATTTTTAAAAATATATATCTAGTGAGTTGTAGGGGGTTTTATTTTAATTATAATAATCACACTAGTTTTGTGCCCCGGGCATTGCCTGGATAGTCAATTGAATTTTAAGATAACTTTTTTTTAAAAAAAATAATTCTATACGCAAAATTTTAAAACATACCATTAATACAAACGAGTTATATATTAGATTTAGGATATTTTGACATACAATATTATTAGAACCCATGACCTTTTTAGAAAAGACATCTTCCAAAGCTTGAACAAAATAGTGTTTTTTGTATTCTATTTAAACAATTAAAAATCTTAACTTGTTTTTTTTTTCCTTGAAGGACATGGCCCTACTGGACACAAGGTGGCTCCGCCACTGGCTATATACAATTTAGATGGCCGAAGGTATATATGTACTTCCAATCAATGATCTCATCTTATTGAATTCAATTCCATTATTATTATAATTATCTAGAAAATCTAGATATTAATATTAAAGATGACGATAAGGCAATCTATTAATTATCTCCCTTCCGCCTTCATATGAGCACTTCAAGGAGATTAATTGTCTCTCTTCCGCTTTCATATGAGTACTTCAAGGAGACCATGTTATATGGCAACTATGGTTCTCTTCCTTTTGAAGATGTTAAATCAAATTTACTTTTAAAAGAAAATTTTGACATTGAAATATTGATGCAATGCTGAAGGTTTAAATTACACTTAAGAGAGAGATCACACTAGAAAAAAAAATAGTACCAATAATGAATGAATCCAAGGATTTTTTTCACAAAGATTGTAATAAGTCGAATGAGCACGATGTTTCCAATTGCTGGATAAAAAGAGAAGAAACAAGAAAAAAGGCTAAGGAAATTGCATAAGTCGTTTTTGGTAAGGTAGAATCAATGATATTCTTTTGGTTACTTCACAAAAAAAAAAATCCTGATTGGGTGCTTGATTCCCATTGTTTCTAACATATTTGTTGTTCACAAAAGGATCTTGTTAGAGATAATATCGGAAAATATATGTGTGATATATTTTTCGTATTGATCTTATTAGGAGAATAATATATTTAGGTTTGTTATATGTTAAGATATTAATCAAGCGTAGGTTAAATCTTGGGACCGCTCACAAAAATTTTCCCCCCTGCCGGTGAGTTAGAAAATTATACTCATCGGCGGGATTCATAAATTTTACCGAAAAAATTCCGCTTTTATTTTTTTTGAGTTGATTCGAGCATGATTTTGCTCTTTTGGATATGAGTTTGGTTTTACTCTAAAAGACCAACAAGATATTTGAGTGTGGTTTACTCGAAAGACCAATAAGAGATTTGAGTGTGGTTTACTCTGAAAAACCAATAAAAGATTTGAGTGTGGTTTACTCTGAAAAACCAATATTTGTTTGGAACTCGGTTTTGCTCTGGAAAAACCAAAAATTGTTATATTTACAGGTTCGGAAAGAATGACGTTCCTGTTTGATTGAAGACTGATGAGTTCGAAAAGATGAACGTTCTCATCATTGAAGAATTTTTTTTTTGAAGGCGACATCACAAGAGTGTGCATCTCGACTTCAACAAATTAAAGAATTTCCAAACGCAACGTGCGTGTTACTGCCGTTACGATTGCGGGAGGGTGTTAGAGATAATATCGGAAAATATATGTGTGATATATTTTCCGTATTGATTTAGGAGAATAATATATTTAGGTTTATTATATGTTAAGATATTATTAAAGTATATCTTTTAGGAAGATTGTTTCCTATCTTATGTTCTTAGGTTTTGTATAAATACTCTACCTATGGATGAATAATAATCAAGCAATACAAAAGTCATTCCATTCTCTCTTCTTCCTAATTTATCAGATTTCTTTATCGATTATTGCTTGGAAAAGAATAGATATGTTTCAATGGGAAAAATCATTGCTAAGTTCATGGCACTGACTTCATTCGGATAAAGACATGTGATGAAAAGATCAAGACTTTATCTGATGTTCAATATGTTCCTCATTTAAAGCATATTATCATCTCATCTCTAGGCACTCTTAATAATTCTAATGGTGCAAGATATCGGCTCAAGGTCTTCCTCAAAGTTTACAATGGTGCTCATGTCATTATGAAGACTATCAGACATAAAAGTTTCTACTTAGTCTTCTACTACCTCTGTTACATATTATTTGCAACGATTAGACATTTTTCCTCTCTACTTTATGTCAGATCGTTACAAATAATGTGTAACGGAGGTAGTATTATGGCTTATTCATTCACATCATATCCAAGTCGTTATCATACATATATGTACATGTCACAATATTCTAATATCAATTTATCGCCATGTTTTACGGGTGGCATGTCCACTTAATACCCCTTTGGGTTCTTACGACAAGCACACATAAAATTTTGTTAAGATAAAATTGTTGGGTGTAGCCTAAATTTTATAAGCCCATTATTTTAGTGGCGTATCTGTGCATACCTAGAAGCTTTCGAAAAAATCGAGCGAACCTTTTTAAAAAATTCTTGAACTTGGAAGTAATAAATAAGAGATATGGTTTCTTGAAAATTCCGGAATATTATGAATACAAGAACGATGATGAATTAGGAAAGAAATATTCTAGCCATTTTTTTCAACTTCCATCGTTAAGCTAAAAATATTGGTAATGGACATTCAATCAATACATACACACAAGAATCTAAACCTATAGACAAGCCTTCATACAATCATACCTTTCTATTCTCTTTGTGTAAAATCCATTTTCTCTTTACGAATCCACCAATCTCTTTTATACTACTCTTTGTGAATTTAGTCCCTAATATATTTGTTTACTTGTTCCCTCCTATTTTCATATAATAGATAGTACGGCCATTTGTGGGTTATTTTGCCTCAATTTTGATCACATTAGATACTGTGCATTCTCTAGTCATCAATCCTTGCTCATTTTAATGCAACTTTGCAAGGTATAACAACTATGATTAATTACTTTATCCAAACCCTATAATGTAGAGCATTTATAAAATAATATTGAACAACTTCCAATAATACAATGGTCAAGAAGGCAGCAACAACAACAAAGAACAAGAAGACAAAACCAATTAAGAAGCAACTAAGGAAAACAAGCAACAAGCTCCTATGATGTCTAAATACGGTTTTGCCATTTTAGCTAATTATCACATGTATTTTTAAGCTTAATTTTACGGCTATTTCACCAAATGCCATTGAGTAATTTAAAAATTCACCAAATGCCATCGGACTTTTCAGAATTCACCAAATGCCACCGAGTTTTTACAAAATTCACCGAGTGCCATTAATGACTAACGGTAATTAACTCCGTTATTCATTAAGGCTAATTATGCCACGTGGCATATTCTAATTGGTTCATTTTATTATTATTTTATTTATCAAAAAAATTATAAAAAAAAAATGAACCCCGACCAATCTTCCCACTGCACCACCGCCTCTACGCCAGCCCAACCCCTTGCCTCCACCCCCACCGGCGACCAACATCTTCGGCGACCACCCTTCCCCCTGACCCTATTCCCCCTACCATCTGCATCCACTCCCCCCCTAAAAACCCATCTTCGACACCCTAATAAAACCCCAAAAACGAAATCTCCAAAATCGAAAACCAAATTTGGTTTTCGATTTTAAGCAAGGTGGTTCAGGGGGTGGAGATGGGAGGGAAAGAGGTCGTTTGGGTTCGTCGGAGCACGAGGGATGGAGTGGAGGGGGTTACGAATTTAGGGAAATCGATATTGGGGTTTAAGGTGTCGAAACCCTAGATTTCGATTTTTGGGGATTTTAATTTAGGGTTCCGGCGT